CCTTTGCCCTTTTTTCTGCCTTTTGCTGATAGATCTTGGCCAAGGGACAATGCCAGAATCCTTCACTTTGGCAATAGTGGGCTTAGCACCATCCCTCAAGCCCATCCAGGGCAGGCTCCTGCCCATTGCCCCCTGGCCACAGGTGGATGTGGGAGTGACGGGGGTGTAGGGAATGCTGAGAGTTTTTCCCCTACCTCTGGCAATTGGGCCATTAAAAAGACTAATTGACCTCTTCCCCAGCAGGGAAACATTTCAGCAAGAGGTGCCAAAAAGAACTGGAGTTTCTGGACAACAAAATCCGCAAGTAGCCAACTTAAAATGCCCCCCAGACTGTCACCGGTCCAAATTCCTTGGACTGGTCGCCTTGGCCAGGAGTGTCCAGTCCTGCTGGGAATGCCTTGGCCCGTGATGCATTGTCCATTTTAGGCTGTGAAAGACCCACCTCGGTGACCCCACAGTGGGTCCCCGCAAATTTAAGAGTATCAACTGAAGGAAACCCAACCTTTTTCATGATTTTATGGGTATCAATTGACAGGGAATCCCCATTTTCCATTATTTTCTGGTTGCAATGGAAGGGTAAAACCTTTACGATGCCATTTTATGGGTTTGAAATTGAGGGCAAACCCCCCCTTTTCATCACTGTAAGGTTTAAATTGAGGGTGAATCCCTGTTGTCCCTTATACAGAAGACTTGAAACTGAGGGGAAATCCCCCTTTTTCAATCATTTGAGGTAATTAAAATGAGGGAAAGCCCTCTTACTCCAATATTTTAGGGGTTTAAATTGAGGGGAGAACCCACTTATTTGTCATTTTATTGCTTTAATTTGAGGTAACACCCCCCCCACTCCCTTTCTCCTCATTTTAAGGTTTAAATTGAAGAAAACTCCTAATTTTTGATCATTTTAAGGGTTTGAATTGGGAGGTTCCTCTCCATTTCAGGCCACTTCCTGAAACACCTTTTGTCTGCAAGTAACTGGATTTGTCTGTGAGAAAATTTGTCTGGGACAAAATCTGCCAGGACAGAAAGGTCTTGCTGCCCACAGAGTGCCCTTGGAGACCCATGATCTGCACCTGAGAGCCTCAGGCTCCATGCTTTCTTTCCTGGGGAAAGGGCTGTTGTTTGCTGGCAGGTACCCAGCTCCAAAATTGCCAGTCTGCCTCCCAAAATTGAATACGGACAAAAAGGGGCCAGGACAGAAAGGTCTTGCTGCCCTTGTGTTACGATCTGGCTATTAAAAATTATTAGAAATGCCTGTGCCTGAATTAAGGTGCAAATGATACCATATGCCAAAATCATCAGTATGGATTTTATTTAACAGTAAAGGCAGAGAAAGAGACATAGAAAGAAACAGGAAAAAGGAGTGGGGGGAAGAGAGTGACAGAGGGAGATTAAAATAGAAAATTTATCACCACTCCATGGAACCCGATGGCATCCCATGGAGTCCTGTTCTTCTGGTCTTAGTGGGGAGGGCCTAGCAAAACATGGAGTGCAGTGGATTAATACATGTCCAGGAGATGCCTAGGCACCTGCCCTGGGAGGGAGGAAGCTTTGCAGTCTCTTGCGACAGGCTCTGGATTTGTTGCATCACGTGCAGTTCTGTAGTGGAGGAAGACCTCAGGAATGAGACATGGGGGTCTTTGGGGGTCTTTAATGGTTTATGACCCCTGCTCAACTGCCTATTACGTGAATGTCCCGTGTATATGTGGTCTTCCTGGAGCAAGGAGGGGATTACTCCTGCTGGGTGTAGAAGGATTTTGCCATCACACCCCCAAAACCCTTCTCTTCCACCACCCGATGAGCCTTGTTTACTTCTCCTCAGACCTGAGATGATTAGACAATAGCCTTACCTGAAGTCCCTGTCACAGTCCAAATTCCAGTCAGGAAGGTCATTTAGGAGGGGGGCGCTTCAGTGGTCGCAGACAGGCAGTTGCTTCCTTACAGTTTGCCAAGAAATCTTTCTATGATTTTGAGAGTGTTTAAGCCATTTCAGTCTGTCACGCTGTGGAGTGCCCTGGAAGGCCCATCATCTGCACCTGAGAGCCTGAGGCTCCAGGCTTTCTTTCATAGGGGAAAGGGCTGTTGTCTGCAGGCAGGAGCCCAGCTCCAAAATTGCCAGGCCACCTCCCCAAATTGAATATGGACAAAGATTTCTCCCAGACAGAAGGGGCCAGGACAGAAAGGTCTTGCTGCCCACGGAGTGCCCTGGGAGGCCCATCATCTGCACCTGAGAGCTCGAGGCTCCAGGCTTTCTTTCCTGGGGGGAAAGGGCTGCTGTTCACTTGCGGGAGCCCAGCATTGAGTTTGCAGAACTAAAATTTCAAAACATAAGCAACACCAAGAAGCATACAGAACTGGCTCTCATTCAAACTGTCAAAAATGGAAAAAACAAGCAAACCAAAACTAAAAAACAAGGAAAGAGAATGAATTCTATTATAGAAGCATAAAATAAGTAAAAAATGGAATAGTGTACCTTTCCAGTTTTCCTATGATCCCAGTTCCTGGCTTCTTCCTGGATTTTTTCACATTCCTTCATCATTTTGTTATAAGGAAAGGATATTCTATATATTCTCTGCAGAGTTCCCATATCAGAGGACCTCTGATACACAAACCCCAAACTTTAAGATAATATTATATAATATCACGGAAAGGAGAGATAAGCATTAACACATTCAAACAGTATTATTTCTTTCCTTGGGAAGAGATTTGTATGCAGTCTTTGAGCGTTTGTTTATAACAAAGATACTTGCAGTGCCTTTTAGTCAGCATACTAATACAGAAGACAAACAGAAGTGACTGGTCAAGTAATATTTTTATTCTACTTAGGTACCTTGTTTCAACTCACATCATGGCATGTTTTATTACTTCATATTATAGCAGCTAGAAAAGCAGTTCAAAGCACGTTCAAAACATACTGCAGTAGAGAAACACGAAAGACACAACAAACCTAACTCTCACAGTTAATTCTTAGTTGTTTTGACAATCTAACACATAATCCCTGGAATTCAGAGTTCTACACACTTCAGTTAGGAAGCCAGCAAAAGCAACTATGATGAACATTCCAATGAGGTATTGGTCTAATATGGTTACCAAAATTGGCATCTGTGAGTAACTTAAACTATACCACAAAAACAAAGGCCTCTGCAAACCCTGTCTTTGCCTTTCCTGTCAGCAATACCATCTTTTAACAGCAGCACTTGCAGATCTGCCATTTTACCTCCTGTACCTGAAAGATACCATCTGACAAGGTCAAAGTAGTATATTCTGACCCAATAAACACTTGGAGGTTCATTTGCTGCAGAACAGAGCGTGCACCCCCACGCACACACACGCAGATGTGACAGCAAGTACAGTCTCAAACCAGGACACTCGTACTATGAGGTGCAGTGCTGGTCAGAGGTCCTGGAACAGCACTGCCACATGGGCTTAGGCACTGCACTTCTCTACGGGGCATGGGACAATTGGTTCCATAGCTAATCTAGTCACTACAAGCTACAGTATTCTTGCTGTGCTCTTCATCAGTCTAAACATGCATGTTAGTACACTAATACTCTGACAAAAAAAGATGCTGTTAACTTTCACTGATGTACTATTGTAATAGTCAAGAATCAGTAAACCTTGGACGCAGATGAATGATTAAAGTCTGCAGTTCTACTTGTAAAATGGGAGTTCAGAAAGAAATGAAGGACTATTTTCAGAGTAAACAAAGAAAACAATACAAAGAACCCTAGCATAATCAGCTCTGGAGAAATAAATACACAAATAAATCAACTGTACCATTGTTTACTTCAATTTCAATGCACAGTTAATTTCAATTTACCCTAACTATTTTAAGGGCCTTAATTTTCCAATGTGTCTCACCCTGCAGAGATTAATCAGTGGACCATATCTATATGCCAAAAGAAAAAAAGTGTTCATTTCCAAATACTCCAACATTTTCTCAATACAGTCACTAATGGTGCACAAGTTCGTGCTTGACACATTCCACCACGGTAGTAAATATGAATATGCAATGTGCAGCACATTCAGTGCTCCATAAATGTAACTGTGCCTTCTACCTGAAGTGAAATATTCTCTCAGTAAATGCTCAGCACAGCTGATCTATTATCAAGACCATCATAACACACTCACCAACTCATATAGTTCCATATGTGAACTTTGTTAAAGCCAACCAGGAAATTTCAAACTATGCATATCAAACAGGAAAATGGTTTTGCTATTTTCCAACCAACTGATTGGAATGAGCAACTAAATAAGCAGGTTCCTCACCCCCCAATAAGCTGAGAGTTAGTGTTACCCACTATGCACCAATCCAATGTCTGGGGTGGTAACTTATTTTAATCAGTTTACTGAAATGAGAGGGAATGAATAAAAACTGGATTTGCCATTTGTCCACAAATTGAGACCTAATCTGTCCCAGCAGAGAAAGAAAATACCTCGTTTTACAAAAGTAGCAATATTAATTGCAAACCTAAGTCCCAATCACACAAGAATTTGGAAGTTAGAATATGTAGCAGTGAATCTGATGAGAAATTGGTTTAAATATGTTTCAAAATGGCTTTTTGTATTTTCTGCAGTGTCACTGTCTCCCTCTCCCAGACACCCCCTGTGAAGCTATTGTCTCCCACACAAGGTGTCCTGGGAAGGTGTCCTGAGGTGTTTCTCATTGGTCCTTTGTTAACCCCTTCCTATTGGCTGTTGACCCTTTACCTGATGGTTTTTTTCTGTGTGACCCTGAACTTGTGATTGGTTCCCCTTTGACCCTCCTAAAAGCTTTATAAACCCCTTCCCAACAATTAACGCCCTCTTGCCTCCTCTCCACGCCGGTGTGCTGTCTCTGTGCCTGCCATGGGGCCACATGGGGGGAGGGGAGGGCACCTCTCGCCTCCAGGCTCGGGGCCTGACAAACCCTGTCGCTGGAGTCCCCTTTCCCCGTCCCTCAAGACGTCGGAATGGTTCTTCAGATGGAGATGGAACTAGAACTGGGCTCCCCCACGTCGTGGGTGGGGAAAGGGATCCAGAAGAATAAAAATAAAAAAAACCTAAAACAAAAAACCAATTTATTCCTGTCTCAATTTAAATAAACTAACTATAAAAATACAATATCTTAGAAACATATTTCTTTACCTGTATATTGTGGTAGTTGGTGTCTTCATCTTCTCATTAGGGATGTGACAGTTAAAAGTTGTTATACTGTGTGTGGAAACATGAAAAGTCAGAAACATCAATAAAATGGCTAACAAAATTCTCTTTTTAAAATCTGTATTAATAATGCAAGTGCATTGGTAAAAGACACAACTAAGTTAAAAGTTTGTACTCAGCAGTTCAACATCCTTCAGAAGAGTTGCAAAACAAGAGAGGAAAGAGACAAAAACATCTTAAATCCCCTGATGGTGATTACCACCTGAACACCTCAAAGCATTGCAAAAGGCAATTACACAGCATAGTGAGACTGGCAATATTCACTGTATAAAACAGGGGGCTATAGCAAAAGTCTTTTTTGACCTGTCTCTGCAAGTGAGCCAGAAGGAATGAGTGCCTTTTGTGTACTTATTTGTCATCTCATTGAGCCTGAGGTATTTTTGTGTAATACAAAATTGTTTTTATTAGTGCTTGAAAACATTCTGAACACTTGAGAGGAAACAGAGGGGGAAAGGGATGGTATTCTTTTTCTTTGTTTTACTAGACAGGTACAGTTCTGATGACTCAGTCACATGCAGCATTTTATAAAAGTTACATTTTAAAAGATCATTGTACCACAACCACAGCTACTCAAAAGATTTACCTTAAACATGTCTAACAGGGTCTCCTTGTTGACTTCCAGCCTTTCAAAAGCCTGTTTCTCTTTTATGATATTTTTACAGCGGTTCTCTAGTAGTGGGAGTTCAGTACTAGATACACCTCTAAACAAAAAGACACAGGCAAAAGAAATATAAATTAATTATTTTGATATTTCCATTTTTTGAAATAACCACTTTCTAGTGGTCTAATTGGAAACTGTAAAATGTGTTGTTGTGATTTGTCCCAGTATTTTCTTAGCTTCTTCCAATCAGTTGTATTTTCAGACACCAAACTCAGAAACGCAAATAATGCCACCTCAAACAAACCCACTGCAATCATTCCTAGAACAGTCTTTGACATGATTAAATGTCTGCAAGACCTACAGGTCGAAGTATATGTATGATTTAAGAAAAAAAATAGGGGGAAAAAAGCTTAACCCAGTTGCAGGAGTCTGTTTATGGGCTGATGCAGATTCAGTATTCTCCCTGACTACAGAAAGATAAACAAGGAAAAAACAGAATTGTAAAGGTGTGCACAGTGATTAGAAAAGTAGTAAACACCTATACAAGTTATAAGCATATGTGCCTTCTCTACAAGTGACTGTGGCACTTGGAAACCAAACTCCCAGGATTCTTCAAGGAAACCATCTCCTTTGTCTCTCCAGAAGTTCATGAAGTTTTACCCAAACACCACATTTTTTCCGCAGAACATCGAACAGCTGCAAGTCTTACAGAGCAGGTGTCTGAACAGTGCTCCTGAATTTAAATGTACATACACACTCAATTTATGTGCCTACATAGAAGACTAACCTGTCAGCTTCCAATCATATTAGAGACACTATTTTACTTTTAACATGCAGAAACTTGACAGAACAAAATAATTCTAGTACTGAGATTCAATACAGAGTATTAAAGTTCTAAGACACTGAAATTGTACCTACCTTCAATATATATGTCAAAATAAAATCCATTCTCAGTTGATGGTCCATAGCATAAGCAGCCCCCAAAATATCCTTCCATGGCCTCTCCAAGAATGTGAGCACTTGAATGTCAATAAACCTGCAAATAAAAGTCAGGTGAGCAAGCCATGGGGTCAGTGGCATTGTGTAACTAAAAAGGAAAAAAAATCAAACCATAAGTATATCTGCAGATGGGAAGTAGACTGGTTCCAGTTGTTTAAATTTTAAGAGAAGTAAAACAATTTTCTGTTCTCACTTTGAAGTACTCTAAATGATTAATACAATGGCAGATGTAGCACTAAAAGCCCACCATACTGTAGTCTGAAAGGTGATGATTATACCTGTGCGCTATTCCATCAACTTAGTACTTACTGTACCTTGTTAATTTATAAGTTAGTTTCCAGTCAGTCAAAAGTCTATGCAACACTAATCAGATCTAAAACAATGTAGCCAATTAAGTTTCCACGGTTCACATTCAGTACCTTTATTAATAGGTCTGCAAAGTACATTACCTGAAACGTCAGCAGAGGGGAGCCAACAACCCAGTAGATCAATACCAGTCTCATGTTCTAAGTTCCTGTTAATTTGGACTAATTCAGAGCCACCGCTACAAGATAAAGCCTTTACAGGCTTCTGAAATACCTCAAACAAGCTTAATCATATGAATAATTCTTTGACAAAACTGAAGTCTAATTCTAATACATAAACATAAGCTTCAGACTGAATCTCATTAAAAAATAAAAAATCTTGGGTGTGTTGCTAAGTATATTCATAGTTTAATTGACTAAGATACGACTGCTTAAGGTTCTGATAAACAGTGCCAGTAAAAGGAGGTGTAGACTTTATTTATGACTCAAATCTAATGTTGGACAATTTTTAGAAAACAGCAAGACAGCCTTACTTTGCTTTCACTGTCTGATCTTCAAATGCACTGTCAAACCACAGAACATATCTTAGAAGACATCAAACTATTTCAAGTTAGCATACAAATCAAGGTGTTCTGTATGATCTCATTTGAGAAATAACCTGTTTATGTAAAAGAGAAAGATGAAAAGAACCCTAAGATTTTATTTACTCTCAGATAATAGGCACTTAGTATCTCACCTTCTTTGCTGAATCATGGGAAATACATTACTTGAATAGTTTTGTGTGGGGTTTTTTATGTCAAGATTTTAAAACCTAATGCTGCAATCAATTTTATGTCATTAGTTCATCTAATCAAGCAGAAACCAGAGAGTGTTTACTCACAGCTTTTGCTTCTTCTTTATCAAAGGTCAGCAGCTTCAGAGTACAATCTCCCTCCAGTGGACAATACAGGTCCCACAGTTCACCATCCGCTTTGGCTATGACAGCATTTGAAGCCAACACTTGACTAAAAAACCAGAACGGACGACAAGAGACCTGAACATTTAGGTTCAGACTTGTAAAAGACCTTAGGTTTCTAAACCCCATGAGACCACAGCCACATCTCGTAGCACCTGAATACCTTAAATTTTTGTTTCTGTGGTGGTCTTAAACACTTTTCCACTTTAAAGGTAAAGAACCTTAAGGTCTTGAGAAGTTTCATTTAATGGTTTTCAGTGCCGGGGATCTGGAGGAAAGACTGCTTCTTACAATAAGTTCTACTGTATCTGGTAACTCACAAAACTTCCAATGTCTCTATTAATTCCTAGCAGTCTGACTGATTTACTTTTTAATTGGAAGCAAGCATTATGATCCTAGCACAGAACCTCAAGCATCACTCAGAACAGTAACCTCAACCAGCTGTTTATTATGCATTAAGCTGAAGGTTCAATGCTTTCCAAATGAACCAATTTAAGAGTCATCATCCACTGACCATGACATATATTTTACACAACAAGGTAAGAGACAAATGATAGTAACAGTTTTATCACTGCAAAAGTACAACTCCTTGAATCTGCAGGTTACCGAAGTCCTACAGCTAACTGAAATGGTGTGGTTTTCCCCACAAGATTCCCCTTCAGCCATTTTCCCATCTGTCAGAGTAATTTTGATAGATTTGCTCTGGTTGGCTCCTCTGTGACCTAGCAAAGCATCATGTTCTTTTTTCAGTGCTCCATAAAGCTTCAGTGTGTCTTCTGTGAAGCTTGGCACACACTGTAGCTGTAACAAATAAATTAGATTATGCACATACATATTTGTGAGAGAAATAGAATAAAAGGATTCACACTGTTGGTGCATCCCCAGAGGTCCCAACTTTGACCAGATTTCACTGTACTAGAATTTATACCAAAATGCAGTAAACCATTTTTACATAATTATACAAAGGATAGTCCCATCCAACCTTCTGACTACTTTATAGTAGCTTTCCAATTTTCCATGCACTTTCATCAATCTGGGCCTAAATGGCTTTGCAAGTTTGACCTCAGAAAGCAGCCTATATTCCTGCCCCAGAATTTGCATTTGGCATATGTCCTAGAGAAATCTGGATCACTCCAGTGAGCCCTCATTTCTGCCAGTCCATTCAAAGCATCAGATTCAAACAAGATAGTTCACGTGAAGGTTACTCTAGATATTAAGCTCTATTATAATACAGCTAGTGCTGCCAACGTCCTTTCAGCCATCACGCTGTTTAACTGCTCATGAACCTTCGCTCTCTTTAGGCACCACAGAATTATGACCTTTATTTCCAAATAACCCCAATCCTTTTCTTACATAAAAAGTAGAGATCTAAGAATGTGTAAGTTAACCCTACTAACACAAGGTGAAGCTCCTAAATAATATTTTTTTTCTCTCTGCTATAGCAAACCTTTTCCCCAAAAACTGGGATTTCAAAATACACAAAGTATTTCTGAACCTGATCAAACACCACTTCTTCTATTATTATGTACCCTAAAATAACCATTTACATCATTCTGATGTTGTTTCACAGATTTACCTTCTTTTTTCTTTTCCTCTTTTATTTTGATTCACTGCATCAATTGGACTTGCACTGGAGACTTTCTGAAAGCAGTGATAATACAAAGTATACCCCTACTATGCCTTTAAGACTTTTCCCAGCAATCGTTGAAACAAACCAGACCAGTACAATATTGGGCTAAAAAGGTAATTACAGGGGAATAAGTTATGTCCTTAGCACTTATGACCCATCTAAACTGCATTTTTTTGATGTTCTGCAGACACAGCAAAACTGCTCAGTGGCACTACTACAACTATCACCGGCAAAAATCTCCCCAGCGAAACCGTGGGAGATCACACTGGCATACTGAACAGTGACAACTTTCAGTGGTGTCATATCTGGCACAGGTTCACCCAGAGAAAATGTGGATGCCACATCCCTGGCTGCGTTCAAGGCCGGGTCAGATGGGGCTCTGAGCAACCTGGTCTGGTGGAAGGTGTTGCTGCCCACGGCAGGGAGTTGGAACAACAGGACTGATCTTTAGGGTCTTTCTCAACTCAAGCCATTCTCTGATTCTATGATGCACGCGCAAAGGCAGGTCCACTGCTCAGTGCTGCGGGCAGACACCGCGACCGGCTCCCACCCGCGGAGCACCGCGACCCCCGCGGGCTGGGGACGGGCGGTTCGGCGCCGTGAGTGCCCCTGTCCCGTCTCTCCCCGCAGAGGCCCGGCCAGCCCGTAGTCCACTGCTCGCCCCCCCACTCCGAGCGGCCCCGGCCTGCACCGGCGCCGGCCGGCCCCGCTCGGCCGCCGAGCCGTGGCGCAGGAGCAGGAGGCGGTAGCGCAGCCTGTCGTTCTCGGCCCGCAGCCGCTGCCGCTCGGGGCTGGCGCTGCCGGGGCAGAGCGGCTCCTGCGGCTCTTTACGCCGCCCGACTTCGGCCGCCAGCCAGCGCAGCTCCCGCGACACCCGCAGCGATGCTGCCTCGGCGATCGCCACCTTCGCCCCGGGCCTCTCCGGCCCCGGGCCCGGCCCTGCCGCTCCGCCCGCCGCCGTGACCCGCCCGGGCCCGGAGCCGTGCGGGGGTGAAGCTGTTGTCATCACTCGTTCTTCTAATTGAGTGAATACTTCTTTGTAGCTCTCGCTGCTGTGGCGTTAATTAATAAACGCACCCACTCACCTGGCTCCGAGGCTGGTGAGCAATTGGAAAATGTCGATATCTACAAAATCAGTTAGGTTGGAAAAGACCTTTGAGGTCATCGAGTCCAACCTATGACCGAACGCCACCTTGTCAACCAGGTCTTGGCACTCAGTGCCACGTCCATTGTTTCTTTAAACATCTTCCAGGGACCATGACTCCAACACCTCCCCGGGCAGCCCATTCCAATGTCTGATCACCCTTCCTGAGAAGAAATTCTTCCTAATGTCCAACCTAAACCTCCCCTGGCACAGCTTAAGACTGTCGTCTTGTTCTGTCCCAGGTTCCCTGGGAGCAGAGCCCGACCCCCACCTGGCTCCACTCTCCTGTCAGGGAGTAGATGAGAGCAGTAAAGTTCCCCCGAGCCTCTGTTTCTCCAGGCTGAGCCCCCCAGCTCCTTCAGCCGCTCCTCATCAGAGTTGTGCCCCAGACCCTTCACCAGCTGCATTGCCCTTCTCTGGACAGCTCATGTTGAAGTCCCACTTCAGTTTATCTAAAAATGCTCTTTGAAAAACTTTTCTCTGTAACTCTCATAAACAAGAAGCTGAATATTCTGAGACTGCAGTGAAGAATCACATCACTAATTCTCAAAATCCTCATCATGCCATTTTGCGGAGCACATGGCAGGCACAAGTGGTTTGTAATAGGGAGGGGAAAAAAACACGTACTGCGCCCCCCTTCGCTATTCTCATTATGAAACAATGTCAATGTCAAAAAGTGTTGATCAGATTGCATCCTTATTTGACCTCAATGTCAAATAAACACTGCGACATCTTACTTGTAGTGGATGCTTCCTGGTTAACACCATTTCTTATGAAATTAGGCTGACCAAAACTAAGCAGCATCTTTGTACAAATTGCAGAACTAGGCACCCAGGTAAATAATTTGAAGAGGTTTGAGTTGCCAGGCATTAGGACTCAGAGCTTGGGAGGATTGTACAACTTCTATTGCATAGTCCAATAGTCTGCACTGAATCATTTACAGGTCATTGCAGTTAAATACCAGTTCCCTGACCCTGGGAAAAAAGTAGTTCTCCATCACAAATCCTTTATTTCCACCATGCATTTCTATGTATCATTTTGTCTCAATTGCTTCTTTGGCATCTTCAATTTCTATGGTTTCCTCCTTTGATTGTACTTTACACCCATTTCTCTGTATTCAGTTTCTCAATACACTTTCAAATTTTTTGCCTTTAACTAGTAATCAGATTTTGAAAGCTGTGGATTTTTATTAGAACTCTGACAATTACCATATCAGAATTTTAGCATTTTATTCTCCTGTGTACATTACTGGAAATAACTACACAGTATGTGAGAAGGAAGAGAGGCAAATTTTGTTATTATCCACACTTTGCTGCATTTCCTATGATACCACGCATTCTATATGATTTTAAGACTTCTTAAGAAGATATTTGAGATCAAAGGGATATATTCTTTTACCAACAAAACTAATGGGGACATTTCTGGCTCAAAACATTGTAGTCCTTTAGGAAAAAAAAAAAAAGTAAGTTATTCAGTGCATAAGTCCAAAGACAGTCCTATATACTATATACTCACAAATTTCAAACTGTTATTACCCTGGATAACTGCTGTGTGTAGTACTGTTCCCAGCCTATATTAACCATTCGTATTATACTAACCTTTCTTTGCATTTTCAATGCAGAGTACTGGTTTTTCTCCCATGAATCCCCAGAATTGTCTAATGGCTCTGTAGTTAATCCTGCTTGTCATTCTACCCCAGCTAAACCTTTTAATGATGGTTTTAAATTAGTTTTATTATTTAAGGTATATTGAGAATGTACCTCAGCAAACTGATACCTATATACATTTTTCATTTGCACCAATTCTTCCTTCCTTTTCTGAAGTGATGCAGCTTGCTGACACTTATGTCCATCATTGACTATAACAAGGTCATGCATCTTCAAGGATAGACTGTCATGGTCAGAACCATTATGGACATATGTAAAAATAAGATATAACCTATAGCTTCTGTTAGAAATAAATTTCATTGTTAATTTGACAGGTTACCTGCTTTTTTTAACTTCCAAATTCACTACTGTGCAGAATTTATTACTCTGTTTAGGATATTGATTACAACCAGTGTTATCAGCACAATAAAATAAACACAGATTTGTTTTTTTTAAAATTAAACTCTGAAAAATGTATGCAGGTTACATCCTCCTTTATTTCATCTTTGGGCACTGCCTTATGAACCCAAAACCTGTAACTTTGTGCTTGCTCTAGCTTTTAGTGAAGTAATAGAAAAACTTGCCATCAGAAGTTGTAGAGGCTGAGAAGGCTGAGTCATAGGATGCTGTCTAGCATATGTGGAGTGCCAGGCTTTATCAGGATCTTTTACCTCCTGAGATATTGTTGTATTAGTAGTAGTAGAACTTCTGAGAGAGAAACAATTTGAAGAGAAAAAAAATTGTACTACCTCTATGAAGGTTGAAAAACTAGAGGGAATTTTAAGAACCAGTATTATAAAGGAGCCCTTACTTTCAAAGGCCGCATAGAAGAAGTGCCAGATAAGTTGCCGACTGCAATGACCCTTGTTTAGCTGTACTACCTGGCTCATGGTTGGGATAGAATGTGCCTTTTACCACCTCTCTTCCCCCCGCGGGTCATCTTTGGTGTGGTATGTGATGCCATGGAATGCATGGTAGCTCTACCTGAGTAGATGCAAGATGATTACAGAAGTATGAGAATCTCACTGCTATGGTTAATAAACCATAACACCCTAAACTAGGACCATTAATACAGCTTCAAATAACACATAATTCCACTCTTCCTTACTCCAGATGATGTGTAACATATGAGGCTTGCTGTATCTGCAAACAACCACAGGGTGACAGGCAACGCTGCTAAACAATTCTATGAAGCCTGGCTAGTTAATTGTTTGGATGGTCATATTATTAATTAAAAAAATTCCTGAATTCTTACATGGACAGTGGTCAACTTTAATGCTGACTGTGAATAATTGAAATTTCAGAAGCAGAAGAAGCCTGACAGGAGGATACAGTGGTCGCATCTTCAGATCATCAGGATAGAAAATATCATAAAACTTTTTTGCCGAAGAGCTTGGCAAAATGGTTTTGTTTGCTGCACAACTGATAAACCACTCTTAAGAAAAGTGCAGGTAAGGCCACAAGGGCAAGGCCATGGATGCACTATCATGATGTTGGAAGTAATGGAACTAGAAAAAATAGTTCAAGAAACAGCAGGAGGAGGCAGGAAGTACTCATACTTTTTCTACATGGGGAATTTATGTTGACAGAAAGTATAAAAACAAGACCAAGAAGTCCACGTATTAAGGAGCATTTGCATAAGGGAGGTTATGTAATGTGTGATCCCCAATGAATGATTATCAGTGGCAGAACACCTCCACTGGGATTGCAGTAATCTTCACTGTCAACCTGGCTTGTGGAATGGACACTACATGGTTTATTTTGCTTGGAAACAACATAAAGATCTAAACATGCAGAAATGTTATTCTTAACAGTTATGTATTTATCTTCACAAAAAAGGGTCTTATTCTGAAACCTTTTTTTTTTTACCTTTTGCATAAAGGTTTACTAAATATTTATAGAAACTTGCTTTCTGAATGTGTAATTCCATTGCATATTAAAGCTAATATTTTATGAAAGAATGAGAAGTGGAGGGCATTTGTACTATGGTTTGGGTATGGCCTCTGAGGAATATAAAATTAAAGTGTACAAAAGAAGCTTTAGGTTATGTCCTGTACCAGCTTGTACAGATTATTTCAGTTTGATTTCAGTTTGCCAGCTGTCTTCTAGAATGAATTATTTTTTGCAAAGGCATATCTTTGAAGATCAGTTACAGAATTAAAAAGTAACAGTAACTAAGCAATTCTCAGTCTCATCATTACGGTTCAGAAGCTGTTAACAGTTGTAAAGGGCTAATTAGTGTAATGTAATCCTCTTAGGAGGCTGCAGGCATTGAGCTAGATTTCTTTATAATTTGTATGTAGGCCTTCTTTATTCCATTGGAATTACAATAATTACAGACATCAGTATGTATTTGCATTCTAGCCATCCACATTATGTTTATTTTGCATACTGAATACGGCACGATAAATGCAGAAGTAGAATTCTCTATTTTCTCTTTAAGTATCAAAATGTTTGGAAGAACAGCCAAATCTTGGTTTTATAACTGTGCGAAATCTACCAAAAGAGAAAATGAAAACAGGAGTAAGTGGCTTTCTGAAATCCCAAGCAATCAGAGAGAGAAAATACTGGAAGAGCTGGATGTGAAGAAAGTGCTGTCATATTTGGTTTACAAGAGAGTCTTTTCCTTGGAGGAATACAAAGACATTTGGTCCCAGGAGAGCTACAGGAAGAGAACTGAATATTTTTTAGATAAACTCTCTCTAAAAGGCCCAGGTGCTTTCTCTGCCTTTTGTTCCATTTTGGAGGAGGTCAGTCCTAACTTGCTGACGTGCTTTTTCCTTGGCTATGAAGGTAAGGTCACTGTCTGCTCTGAAATGCTTAAGTGTATATTGGCAATGTCTTGGAATCCTTTGACACTAATAGTTATTTGCTATAATTAGTGTTTACTTTCTCTCTTGCACTAAATCGGAGAGAGTATTTGCTGTCTTGATAGTTCTTTGCTATTAAGAAAAAAATATTAAATATCTTTTATTGTTATACTTTGAATATTTAAACTGCTAACAAAATGTTGCATATTCAAATTGCTGCTACTAATAAATAAAAGTCAGGATAGGATTTCTAAGTATTACTGATAACACTTAGCTCAGAAATGTAACTGATCGTTTAGTTCCCTTTCCTTTTCTAAAATATTTAAAAATAGATTGAGAAGTTCTGTAGGTATAGTGCCCAAGTAAGTGACTCATTTCACATTTTTCTTGTAAGTCACGTTATTTACTATATCTATCTGTAAGCAACTGCATGAAAAAAGATATTATTAATAAATATCAACAATGCCATTGAATTCAACCAAAATGTTATTTAGAAATCAGGCAATATTCGTACTTATTTGCGGATCAATGTTTTCCCAGATATTAGGAAAGATAATGTGGAAAAATATGTGCAGAGCGTTTACAATTATATCTTACTGAGCTATTTTTATTTTTATGTCTGTTATATTCTAAATTTCAGTCTATCAAGTCAGCTAGAGTTTTTCTCAACAATGACTTCAGGGTTGTGCTCAAAGGTTATATACAGAATGTCCTTTTAGAATTTAATTAAAATAGTCATATCTTTTACCCATCAATTCAGAACGAGGTTTAAACACCTTAATATTACAACTATTTATAAATAAAAAAGTAAGTCTGAGTACTGTAAGAGTTTTAATAAATATATAAAATTGAAATCTAAAACTATTTTGACCTTTAAAATAGCTGTAGATTGTGTTCTCTCTTGACAACCTGATTACTTTTAAAATTGACAATTAGAGCTCTAATTACTTGAGAAGGCAACAGGTATATTACCCTAATTCAATTATGAAAGATGCCCATTTCATGTATCTTTTTGAGATCAATTTACGGTAAGGTTTTATGTCAGTTACAAGAAAATCAAAGGAGATTCACAAATGTTGGGGTTTTTAATAAATATAAAATATACTTCACGGACAACCATGTTATGAAAAGGCTACCCAGGGCCTCTTTATGCCATAATTTTTTTAAAAAAGCATACAAATATAAATACAATGGGTTATAAATACATTATAAAGCCAGCTCTTTTGTAATACACGTTTTGGAATGAAGTTTGGGCTTCCTCTGAGTTAACTGAAGAGACACAGAAGGAGATTTTTATTCTATATCACCTAAACATATCATGCAGGGGCCTGTCACAGAACAGATTTAGATCTTCCAGTGGGTACAAGGTTTGGGGTATAGTTATAAAGGGTGATGGCCTCAGCAGTTGGGTGTAAGTCAAGGACTCTGTCTCCCTGACAACATCATAGTAGATACAGAGAAAAAAGGAGAAAGCCAATGCTGCACATTTCCAAAAGAGTAAAAGATACTGTTGGAGCAGTGTCCCCAATCCATTCTGTCTGTCTGTGCCTTGTGTAGGCAGAAAAATGCCTTAGGCTGCCTTAGCTCAGCCACTGTTACACTCTTTCCTCCTTCCCCTCCCCCAGTGGCATTTATCAAATGTGCAAAGCTAGTTTTAGAATCTGTTATTGCTAATAATAATCTACTGGATAGCAGGCAAAAAACCTACATGCTATATATTCACATTAATTCATGCAAATAATCTGTATAAATTCATGCATGCATATGTTGCAGATTCAATTAAAATGCATTATGTGTCTGGCATTGTGGATTTTTATAGATTGATTTTGATAAACTGTGTTACAAGGTACACAGAAAGATATGATGAAAAAGAGCATTGTTCATTGTTTCCATTAAAAAAATTTTCCTCTCTACCCTGTAATAGCTGACTGATAGGACAAAGGACTCAAATGGAAGGCATGCAGTCTAGATGCATGATGAGAAATTGCTGTGGTTGTGCTATGTGGCATCAACACCCCAGCTAATGGAGCAGTTATGCCATCCTGTCCACTGTACTTGTTAAAGACACTATGGCAGGCTGACTGAGCACACAGAATAGAATCAATCCTCGTTATTGATCAGCTGCATGTACAGTGGGGGCCAATTTTTGTTCTCTGGACCTGCCCCTGTTGGCAGATATGGTTATTTTAATGTGTTTCCATTGTCTGCATGCCCTACAGAAAGAACCATTTGACAGGTGCTGGAAACGTGGCAGGATTCCAAGAGGTCACTCAGTCTCTGGGCTGATGTAGCTCACTGCAAAAACTGTGAACTGTGCTAGTGAAATGTGTCCAGTGAAGGATGTACTGTTGCTTGCATATAACTGTTTTAACACCACTTTGAACTCTTTCATCTCATTATTTCAAAGAATTACACCTACAGTAATTTAAGGGGTGTTATAGCTGCATTTATGCCTCAAGGCACTAGTGACTTGATTCTTCTACTTACAGTTCTCATTATAGTATAAAGCAAAGCTCCTAATGATTTCATGGGTGAAACATTTGGTTACTACTTGCCCATATGATACAGTAGGAAGTCAGTTCTTCATTGTCCAGGCAGAATTTTATTTTGAGTAAGAATTGCAGGTTTTTTCCAAAATACCTATAAATTGTCTGACCTGTACATTTCAGGTCTATTGTAAATATGAATAGGGAAATAACCTTATATACAAAAAGTCAAAAGTTTACCTAAAACAGCCACTTATCCAAGTGCAACATCACAGACAGAATTACATCAAACTGTAGATGTTATTCTGAATAATGCATCAGAGAATTTTTTTTATTATTATCCAGACTACATGAATTTCCCAGTGTTACCAGAGCAAACAAAACTGAGAACTGTTGCAGGGATGGAGCTTCATGAAACCTGTCAGATGAGCGACCAAGAAGGAAGCCTTTCTGCTGAGGAACAACTGAATCAATCATTCAACAAATACAGGTTAAAATTATCACTGTCATGATGTCTTTTATGATCCAAATATTTCTCGTGATTTAGTTCTATGTAAGTGAAGTACACCACTGATGCTTTCAAAAAGTGTTTCATTTGCATCTGATTTGACTTGGCATTTGTAAACTACAATTCCACTTTTATAACAAACATTTTTGATGTTGATTTTTGGATGCTGATTTATGTTGGGGGTCACCTCTGGTCTTTACTACAGATATTCATTAGTGATGTAATGCATTGATGACACTGCTAGTTTTCAGTGTTCAAGTACATACGATAAGTACATTTTACTTCTAAATTTTCTTGGAGTGTGAGAGACAACCTAAGTTAATATCACAGTTACTGTTATTTTCATTTATTTTAAGAGGAATAGAAACAGAGGAAGACCTATGTAAGAACAGCATGTAACCTGATACATTCTGGGATACTGGGATTTAAGTCCCTGCTTCAGAGATTTACACCTAAAGAGAGGACAAATAAAACCTTGGAAAGTCCTAAAATGCTACATTTTATGTAGATATTATTCAGTTCAGGCATTTGCAGTTGTGTGTTTGGAGTAATTCTTTGCCAAATTCAATAAGGAATCTAGCTGAGAATGGGCTACTGTTCTCAATAGCTCATTAGCTATTAGAAATACTGTAGGTAATTTACACGTGTTCACCTAAGCCATTCTGAGAAAAATGCTTAAAAGCAGTTAAAAGCTGTCCTGCTGTTTTGGTGTGTCAGTAACATATAAACAGTAGATTCTGGAGGCTTTAATACCTTTGCAGGTCTAGGTTAATTTTGTTACATTTCGGCTATGGTCTGGATTACACTAGTTTTTAGAAATGTAGTAAAAATTAATGACTGTGAAGTGATTGAAAAAATTGTGGTTGTAAGAGGTTCGGTTCACCTTGAGTAGCTGTGAAACATGAAATGGTAATAGAGTATGAAGACACTTGATACAATATAGTATGGGCAGATATACACACAGCTAATGAAATCCCAGTCAGAACTCCTTTCTGCACAGATATTCACAGGACTTCCAGGAGACTTGTAGTCATTCATAATCTGAATATGTGCCATTTGGATTTAAACAGATTAATTTTGTAGCACTGGCCCTCTAACTTTGCAAGGCAATTCACTTACAAAACCAAACCAATTAAGAAGTGCCTGCAGCTAAAGAATCACATTAGGGAAGTAGTAGCCAAGTAGGAAAGCTTTCCTGAGGTCAGCCTATGCTGGAAATGCTTGAGAGTTCAAAAAACCTCAACCAGATATAAAAGATGTCACTATCAGTATTTGCAGGGCCAAGTAGTCTCACTATAAGATAGTTACATAACATTCCACCTGACAAAAAGCATATGGAACATCAGTTCTGCATACAACCCGGAAGAAGAAAAAAAAAGATGCTGAAGCTATACTCTCTCTGGGGTGTATCAGTGTGAAGTGTAGAAGTTAGTGTAGCTCCAGAACTCATGCAGCAAGAAGGGAATAGTTATCTGTACTGCAAAGAGAAAACTCAATGACAAACTGGTGTGCAATAGCACACGATTTACTTCAACACCAGTGTCCTGGAAGAAAAAATATATCTTGACACCAGGTTAAAAAAGCACCAGCAGCCTTCTGTTGTATGCTGACACTTAGGAAAAAAATGTAATGTCTAACTGACCTATGTTAGTTTTTTCTTAAGTGCCACACCTGTGTCAAACACCAGAGGCAACATGGTCTTTGTGGACATGAGAGTCTTGAGTGCTTGGAACAATTTGTGAAAAAGACAACTCCACTTTGGAAGAAAACAATAAAGCTGGCAGCAAAGCAAATGTGCCACCAATGTGTATCCTGCAGACACGCACTTTACAAACCACAGTTGCAGGGCCTCTATGAACAAGGCAACTTGTCAGAGACAGAAAGTACCAAACATAAATACAACCATGCAGGACTGTAGGGAGCATAAAGGTAACTAGAAATACATAGCAGTAGCTAGATGAGAAGAGATGAGTATAAGGAGAAAGTGGAAGATGGCTTTACTGCCCTTTCCTAAATATTTGTAAATATTCTCAATCCTTTGTATTTTTTTCTCAATGATAGAAAAATGTCAGACACACAGACACTTTAAGGACAAGAACTTCCCGTGTCTGAAGTAAGTGGCAAAATTCCAGATGATGTTAGTGGGAGCATCACGGTAAGTTAGAGTACTTTGATACTACAGATAATAATAGAAGTTCCACAGTTACATAGCAATTGTAAAGCTATGTTTTTATATTTATGTGTAGACAAGTTATCAAAGTCTTACCATTGCAGAATAGATGGTCTGGGAAGAGCAAAATCCCCTCAGTTCTAAACACTAAGATGACCCTGTTAGTTAAGAATCAGCCAACTGTAGCCATTGCTATGTTCAGTCAGTACTTCGGACAAAGAGAAAATAAAACTACAGAGGCAAAAGGTGTGTGGATTCACACTCAATTTTTCATTTAAAGGTGAAAGCCCTAATAAGGATACCCCACTCTACTTTCTCAATATCCCCTCTTGAGACGGCTCCAGCATTTCTGATTACTACAATAAAAATATGGTCTTTAACACAAATGAAATAGAGTAAATCTGAGGTTTGCATATTGTGATTTGGCCTAGGACTTCCCAGGCAAGCAGCTTATTGACAAATGCACTCAGAAAAATACCAGACAGAAGTACCACGTTGTATGACTTCAGTAAGTCAATGCTAAGGATATGGTCTGATTTTGGACCAGAAAACATTGTCCATGCTTCTGTTTATTGTCCTTTCTGTACCTTCTTTCTCAGAATACCCTCTTCAAAAGAGGGCATTTGTATTAAGACAAATGAATGGAATTATAGGTTGGGTCAGTAATTGCCTGAATAAGACCTCAAATAAGTACTGCTTTCAACACCCTTATTTTGGATTTGGGGGGTTTCTTTTTGATTTTGGCAGTTTTTGTTCATTCGGATTTTTTTTGATGGGTTTGTTTTGGTTGGGTTTTTCTTTGCTACTTTATCTCTCAAGCATCCCTGGACATTTGGTGCTGGCCCTATGAAAATCATGCAGATGTCATAAAAGAAAATAGTTAATTATTTTCCTCAGACTTTCTTTCTGTTTTCTCCTCTAGCAACAGTTTATTTCTCTTATTGATTGAGAACTAAAATAGTACATATATGTTACTTTCCCAAGAAAAGACTGTGTCACAATGGCTGTCAAATAAATTATCAGAATAAGTAACATCCAAACTGTGACAATCAGATGCTATTTTTGCAGTTGTTTTAAAACAAGCTATCTACTTTCACACTGTGAGCAACAAGAGATTTTTGCATGCAGCTTTTCCATTTTCGTCTAAATGGTTTATGATTGTGCGGTACACACTGTAGAGTGCATGTAACTAATTTGTATTTGAAGTCTGATTGATGGATTTCCCACTTATGTTTAAATTTTGGAATAGTTCAGTTCCATTGTAGAACCTTTCTGAATCTATTGGAATTGTATTTTACAGTTCTTAAATAAATCAGTTTTTAACATTTGAAATTCAACACTTTGGAGAGGGAAAAAAGTTTAAGTGTGGCAAAACTTCACTAATTGTAAGTTCTATGGTAAAGAACAGAGTCTCTGCTTTGCTTTAGATAATAAAAAATAATGTGTACAAATCACGTAAACAGGATTTATTCAGAAAGAAGCGCAGAGCTAAGCCACAGCCAGATTTTTATGCTTTATTTGAAGAGCTGTATATTGGCATCTGACACCTCTAAACATCATTAGTAATTTAGATAGTAGAATGTTTATGTAATTTTTTGCATGTGTTTTGGGTTCCTTCAGAGACTTTGTAAGAGCACAGGGACTACAATCAAAAAAATTAAATTCATGCCTTTACCTCAGCACTGTTGGGGACAAGACCCCATTATTAGGGAAGGCACTATAGTCTAGGAGTCACAAAATAAGTACTTGTATTGTTTCTGTAAGATAGCAATCTCATGCTTATAAATGTAAGTTTCTATTTAACTTCTTACTATTTCATCATATAACCACTGGATTATCTCTACTGTGTCTTAGGCTGCAAAGCTTATGATCTGGCTAAGTAACTACAACAACTGGTTTTCTAACAATTAAAAATACTGAGTTACAAAAAGTGAACTCACACTAGTACAGGATGAATGAGAAGGTGTTACAGCATTAAGCTTGTTGAATGAATGTAGTAAATTTGCCTTTTCTCATTTCCCATACCATTTGTAAAGTAATGGTTTAGAACTCTCTTAGACTTTTTGCTCTGGAGATAGAACTTACTTTTATTTGCAATAAATACTCAGTGAAATAGTAATTGACCAAAAAAAATCTCAAAAAGAGAACGTTGGGTTTAAAACTCAAAATACATTTTTTGAGTATCACAATCACAGGGTTCAAAAAGCTGTGTCTGAGTAGCTGGACGCACAAGCCAGGCCACTAAGGTGTCTATCTAGATTTTCAAGGTTGCCCAGTAAGTTACATATCTATTAAAATTAGAAGGATGCTTTCTGTACAATGATGATGATGTTGATGGTGGTGATGATAATGATGATGATGATAATAATATGATGATGAAGCATCAACAATGCAGCGTTTGGCAGTTAATACTGAACACTTGCAGTACCAGTCTCCAATCAAGCCCTGTTCCATTGGGCCACTAGATGGTACTGTACCACAGTACAATTCCTTGGCTGCTTATTTGACATTGCAGCTGTGAATGATTATTTACAATTGTAATAATATCATAATGATTTGTTTGCCCAGTTTTCCTGCACACAATATACACCCACACACAAATAGAGAGGATACATGTAAGGTGTTTAGAAGCATTTCTTGGTTTGATTTGCTAACATCCCTAATGAGTGTATGTTACCTACTAACCCATACAAATGTAACTATGATTTTTCAAAGGCACAGTGACAAATACTTCCATTGCTTCATTGCACATGGAAAACAAAATACTCTTTTGGAGTCTGTGCTCCCCAGACAGGAACAAACGGCATCCAAACACAAACCAGTGAAAAGTACAAGCCCAAATTCAGAGATACGATAATTTTCACAATTTGGAATTCCTTGCAGACTTGGAAACATTCATACTCACTTTCCATATGGAAATAGCAAAATTAAATGCACTGTGGTGATAAATCAAACCCATGAAATCCAAACCAAATTAAAAACCCAATAGCTACTTAAAAGTTCAGGTTTTATCTGTTTTGCTAACTATTGCTGAAATACGTATTCACTTCCAATAGATTGTTCATGGCTCCTTTTTTTGCATGCCTGTATCAATCCAAATCATATTTCCACAGCCTTTCTACTCATCATCTATATAATTTCCTTACTGAACTGCTGTATTGGGTCCTATCTTACTGGGTCACAAGGCTATGTGCTGTTAAACTTCCTTTGCTCTAAAATACTTTTTCCATGCCCTGATGCATTCCTTTGGCAAAGACTATTAGTGTTCTACCTTCTATGCAATGTTAGACTTCTGAACTTTATTCTTCCTTACATGTATCTTATCACATGAAGGGAGATGTTTAACATAGGGGTCAAATCACATGATAGGCAAAGACCATAAGTCTGGACTGCATATAGGAAAAAATCAAGAAGACCACAGTTAATGCAGAATCTTGGCAGAAGTCGCATAGTCCTCCATTGCTGGGAAATGCCAAATAAGCCGCTCACATGACCAGCATGCCAGGCACAGATGAAGTTACAGATCAGGTTGATGAGCTCTTGCTGGGGTGCAGGATCCCAGTGCAAGAGACAGAGCATAGTGCAGCACTGTGAACGGTTCTCATGCGTGCAGTCCAAGGTGAGGGAGCACAGAGCTCCCCAGCACCCTTACAGACCCATGTTGAATGCCACATTCCCCAGCACCATAATCATGCCTGCTCTCAAACCTTCAACCATGTGAGCAGAGTGACAATAGAGAGAAGTCACCAGTAGAATTCTGCAGGGGATTGATTCTTCTTAACAAACTCAAAAATTGATTGGAAAACAATCTTAGCAGTGAAGTGGAAGAGTCTGCTGAGCGTACGCTTTTACTCAATGTAGGATGTGTGAGAGCTGAATGCACAGAACTGTAAATGGGCCTTAAGAGTAAATAATGGGCTAATAAAATGGTAGAGGAAATTTAGTGTAGCTAAATGTGAAATGATGTACATGGGCTAAAGTGTTCTTGGCTGTATGAATAAAGTGATGAGCTCTCAGTTGCCTGTTACCATTCAGAAGTGAAAGTTTGGAACTGCGACAGGTAGACATTTTCATAAAAACATCAACTCCGTGCATGGTACAAATCCAAAAATGCAAATGTTTGTTAGAAAAGCTAAAAAGAACAAAAGCAGGAAACATAATTATACCAGTCTATAATGCCACAGTTTGCTCATACCTGGAACACTGTGTGTTGTTCTGGTGCTTGCATCTTGAAAATGTTAGATAATATCTGAAAAAAGTTCAGAGAAAGGCAACGATGAACAAACACATAGGACAAAATGGTTTTCACAGGTTGGAACTCTTTATTCTGGCAAAGAAATAAAAAATGAAAAAAGAAGAGTGAGAATTAAAGGATCAAATATGTAAGTATGGGAAACTAAGCTGATGTAAGGAACAGTGAACATGACAGCACCCACTGCTTCTAAAAGGTGTCCAAGGAGCTGTTAGGTCCTGGCTAACTGTGCTTTGTTCAGTGACAGAACAGGAGAAGGAAAGAGAAAACGACTCCACAGTAAGTTGGATCCCCGTTGTCAAGATTCCTTCTCTTCTTGGTGAGGTGAAATGCCAGACCAGGCTGACAGTGGCAGGGAGACACTGCCAAAGAGGTCCTCCAAATGAGAAGGTCCTTAGATGTGCCATTGTTCGTTCATCTTTTGTTAGTGAGTAATTTGTAAGATGAATGAAATCAACCAACTCTGAGCAGGCAGTTCCAAATAACCAGAGGCTCCCTCCAAAGGCAGAAATGAGGGCTATTGGAGTTTGAGAACACGTATCGGAATGCACCAGTTAGCATTTTACAGAAGCCACACCTTTAAACCATAGTAAATCCAGTAAGCCCATGCTGTATCAGGCAGGATTGTCATGTTGCTGTCATTCATTAAATTTTTAACACTTAAAAATATATTTACAGAAACTGAAATATACGCATTTCTAGTGAGATGCCTTGAACTATGAACAGGAAATATTATCACTGTAATCCACACATGACAGTCTTCAAACATAATTGGAATGACTTACCTGTAATAATCTTTACTGATGTGGTAACTCCCATGTAAAAACATAAAGCAGCATTCCAGTCAACCCTCAGTGCTGCCAGTGCCATGCAGTGTGTTTAAAAAGCAAGATTGCTTGTACCCCGTATTCTGTACAGAGCAATTCTGTATGTGCAAATTAATTCCCTTTATTCTGAATGTTAGGCTAACAGGCTTCCATCTCCCTCCTAAAAACATGTGTTTTCTCTGGGGAAAGAAATTGGGAGGATAGGTTTTTCTACCTCACATTTTCCTGCTTCCAATGATTACTTAGAGAAGAAGTTAGTTCTCAAAGGAGCTTTTATGATGTGCTTGGAGTACAGAGCTCCTTCATGAATGGTCATGTTTTTCTCCACATCTGAATGATTTGGAGTGGCATTGAAAATAGAAAAAAAAAGTCTGCTCTTCTGATGAAATTTATGTGTGATGAATCCATAAGAGAAAATTCTCATGGATTATGCACATCCTCATAGAGTGTATTCTGCAACAGAGGATGCATTGAGCCAATGCAATCAAGGATCAAGAAAAAGAGGAACAGCCATTTCTTGCTAGTAATTATTGAGACAAAACCTTGACTGGCACCCTCCAAACACCTGCTACTTGGTATGTCCAAGTCATTGCCAGTATTACTGCTGTGAGGATGCCATCCCTAATTTTGCATGTATTTTCAGTGCTAATATGTTTTGTAAACTGGGAGTTAATACTACAGGTAATATGAGTACAGAAAAGGTTTTATTTAGATTATATCTGATCCCAAATGTTTATTAAAGGTTCAAGAGGATTAGATTTTGATGAACCAAGGGACTGCACTCATGTGTGTCTTTACCACCTGACATTTTTATGACATGCATCAATGATAAAAATTAGCACTGACATAGCTAACAATTCTTAGCAGTGAGCTTGTGGCTTTTGGCTTCACAGCAGTCATGTCAAGGTCAATTCGTCCAGCAGCACTGGCTTATTTGACAGGAAGCTGCTTATCTCAGTTTGGAACCTGGAACAGATAAGCCATGACTATAGTCAGCAGGAGAAAGAAGTGTAAAAGAGAAATGAAGGATGAGAAGGGAAAGGCAAATAAAGATGTCAGAACAGGTGTCTTTCCCAAGTAATTTTGAATATTTCCACTTTAGGAATACCATTAAAAGTGCTTTCCAGTCTGTTACTGTAATTTCTTGTTAGTGTTGGCACATTAGCAGATATCAGACAC